GAGAGAGAGCTGGGAATGAAATACAAGCTATTAAATTTCAATGATCTTCTGTTTTAGGCTAATTTAAACAAAAATTTTAACAGGCTCCTCCAAGGAAATCAATATACATGATTCTTAGCTAACCCAGCTCGGGGGCACACAGGGCAGGATTCTGAGAGTTCAGCTTATGTAAAAGCTGGCAGCTAACTAAACCAGAGAAATACAAATTCTTGCACACAGTGGTTTGGGTTTTTAAAATGCCCTGATCCTCACATTATGACTGTGGTGAGATCATATTCAGCATAAAAGGTTTGTTTCACACACCATTTTGTGGAATCAGAAATTCTCATCTTAATATTTCATGAAAAAACTTGGATTCCTAGTAGCCAAGTATGACTTCAAACAGCGAAGGTAGCAATGATTGACATCTAAAATAAAAAAAAAAAGGACAATTTCTTTTTCTCTTCTCTTTTCTTTCTTTTTTTAACTTATTTATCACTGTGTCTATCTGAAATGGAGCTAGAAAAAGATCTTGATCAAACCATCTCAGTGACTTTGCTAACAAAAGGGTCAGGAGTTTGTTGTCCTCCTAGGGTAAGATACCTATTTTACACTGTTCTCACTTGAAGTTAAGACTGTGGAAAAATATTGATTCTGTAATTAATTTTAAATTTCATATTACAAAAATGGAGCAATTTGCAGGCATAAAATTATGTTTTCTTGCAGATAGTAACTTCTCTACTTTTGCTTTGGCATTTGATCATTGTTTTTGTAATGGTTGATCATAGTGATTTTGTTCATTCTTTGGCTCTGAACATCCTTTGTCAGATCTAAGCCTTTCCTTAGCTGTACAGGTGTAAATGGGTGTTACTGAGTGCAAGTGGGTACTTGTTTAATTCAGCCCCTTCCTAATGTTAATCCTAACATTGATGTCAGATTCATTCTACATCTTAGTGTAAAAACCTGATAGATGATGGAAACACTTCTATTGTAAGAAATGTATGTGACAAAATACCCACATTTGCCAAGGGCAAATTAAGGCGGACATAGCTGCTCCTCGCAGTGTTTTCTTAATTACAGTTGTCAGCTAACTTTCTTGGCTAACAGCACAGAATTTGTGGACTTCTAAGTCGACTCGGTATTCATTCAACTTAAAAAGCTAAGATGTCTTTTTCTCTGTGAAAGGTGTGTCTGTACCTCATTGTTGTTTCATGGATCCGATACAGATGGTGAAAATTAGATGACAGCATCTGTAAAATACGTAGAGACCCCTAAAAATACTCACTGTCCTTCAAGCCAGAAGTCCATCACAATCTTGACAGGTCTGGAGGAAAATAAAGAAGTTGTTTTTCTTCTCATTCATTCAAGTTCAAAACAATAAAAATTCCAAGTTCCTTTTCTGATACCAAAGTAAGACTGCTACTACTACAGAGTTCTCTAATATGTCATTAATTTTACCTATTAGTAAGAATCTATCAAGATAAAAGCATAAAACTATAGAGAAGTGTATAATACAGATCTTAGTAGATGAAGTAGTTCCTAATAATTATAAGCATTGCCTGTATTCCTCAGAGAGATTTAGATCCTGATATATTTGTAGTGACAGCACCAAATTTAATTGATAAGAAGGAAGGAAGAGGCTTTTTCTTTTTCAGTGTCTGAACTGGCTAAGAAAACCACTTATACCTTTGCAGTGCATTTTCTGTGAGAGGAGTTAACCTTCTGCTAATTATTGTAGACAAGACCTTAAAAGACCTGGTTCCTCAGAGAGCTGCACATTTGATATGGTAGTGTGCAATATTAACTTTCCTGGTTGGTGTTTTAAGGCATCTCATTGTTAGGAAGTGAATAATTGGGAATAAATGGAAAGAATAAGTACCAAAAGCTAAATTAGTATTCAGGGAATGAGTGCTACAATAAAAGTAGTTAATGTGTCCAACTGAAAGCTGAGATTTGAGTCTTCACAGATGATTTTATATGGTGACAGTTTCAGTATAATGTAACTGGTTTAATTCTTAGAAAATGTCAAATAATTACTGGAGGAAACTCATTCTCCAGTTTACAATATTACATTATTATAAGATTTTATTCTAATACCTTACGCAAATGGCAATGTGAAAAATAACACTAGTGTCCCAAATGTCAGTCGTCTTAAAATAAATTCCTGACCCACTGGTACACATGCTTGCTGACATCTGTATGCCATTTTCATTTGACTAGGTTATTAAATCTTTCGATTTTTAAGCCCATTTGAGAAAAGCACTATTAAAAGGCTCCACATTTATTACTCTGCTGTATTTACTACTTAGAAAAGAGAAATATCTTTGTTTTTCTCTCAATCTGTCTGTTTCTCTCCTGCTCTTTTCCTTTTTTTATTGTAGCAACTGCCCCTTATGTAGTCAGCTGTGGCAGGGACCAACATTCACCCGCCTTGTTCTGCCCCTCACCACATCCTGGGGTGATGTGACTGTCCTGCTACTCTTCTGCCACTCAGCAAAGGCTTCCTGTCCTCCACTAGTCCTTTCACCCATGCCTAGTCAAAGGTAGCATGAGCACCTCTGTGTTGTTGTTACCATCTTTTCAGCTCTGAAAGTCAGTTGGCACGTCAATATCTTAAATGTCATCTCAAGGGTGACCACAGCTAAATGCAAGAGAGAAGATACTGATGGCTGCCGCAGCCATGTGTATGAGCTCTAGGCAGTTGCAGTTGTTACTGCTGACTGGTGAAAAGAAAGTCCATATGCCTACAACTGAGTGCCTGAAGTTTTTCGGAGTTGCTTTGCTGAACACAAAATGAAGAAAAGAATATGGACTTAACCATGGAGCCTCACAAATTTGGCCAACTAGTGTCTCAGCTGTAGCTCCCAGTGATTTCTCTTTACCTTACATCAGTTATTCATGCCTTTACTGTTCGAGCTTGCAGAGTACAGCTTGTCTCCCTTCATTGTCTTTGTGGATGCTGATAAAAGGCTACTGCCTGTTATGCTGCTGCAGTAGCGGGTACTGTCCCAGATGTGATGCTCTTGGGGCCACAGAAAAGTGGAATGAGTGGAGCTGCTGTTAACCGAAGGAGGGTGTATGGCTGGCTTCAATTCAGAGTGGTTTTCCCTTTTTTATTTCGGATAGTGTTTTTATTAGGCTTACAGCCTGGCTCATTCCCTCCTATAAGGCTTCTCACTACATGGACCTCCCAGAGCTGAAAGAGCTGCTGTAGCTTAATTCCACATTGAAATACACTATACAGAGATGGCGACATTTCAGAGCTGAGATCTGAATCACTTAATTAGCTAAATAGCCATTCATTAAAATGCTGTGCAGCATTGAACATTGTTAAACTGGTGTTAAATTGCACTGCTCAGGACTCAAGTCTTACTGGATGTCATGATTTTTGCTTGTTTTCCCAAACCGTTATTAGTCTGACTTCCTTTATCTCAATTGAGGCAAAGTAGAGTATTTCATACATCCTTTGAGCTACAAGGTATCTATCTATGTAGCTTTATATATATATATGGGTGAAAATATGCATACATGCACTACACAAAAATGTATTCATCCACAGTAACAGGTGGTGCTGGTAACACCTGTTACTGGGGTCACTCAACACTCCAGTATTAAAACCCTAATTTTAGTTGCTTATAACTTTTGTCAAACTCAAACATTTGGGTTGAAATGTAATGTGCCAGGTGTCTGCCTTAGGCTGATTTGGGGGATAGAGGGTGGGGAGAGGAATTTATCATCAAAACTGTTATTCACGGTTCAGGGAGCAGAAACCAGGGCACTGGTTTGCCTGTGCTGGAAAAGGAACTATTGCTAGTTGAGATGTTTCAGCAGCTTCCCTTGCCTGAAGCCAAACATTGCCAGTGGAGACCCCCTGCATCTGGGGGTCTTTTGCCAGCATTATGGAAATTCACTGTTTTACTGAGGAAGCACCTCTGTCTAGCTAGATTATGGGCCTGTGAAAATGCTTGGTAAAAGTTTGTTGATAGCTGCCCACCAGCTCCACCACGTCTGTTTCCAAACAGCAGTGCTGCACCAGTGACCCTTCGGATACAAGATGCCCATGAAGTGACAGAGTAAGCCTTGAAGTCTGAGCGTGGAGCAGAGGAGCCTGCTGCATGCAGGGCACCAGTCCTCAGAGCGAATGCAAAGCAGCTCAGATTGTGCTTGCACAGTGTGACTAAATAGAAGGGAATGGTTGGCTGGAATCCAGAGGAACTGGTTATTAAGGATGGAAGAGTGAAGGACACAGGGTTTTAAGAAATGCATGAGGAGAAATGCTGAGGAGAAAGACTGGTGTGTTAGGGTAGACAAACTGCAAAGGGATGGAGCCTCCTGCCAGTCCATGATCTCAGGATTTCTGAGGTCCCTGCCTAACCAGCTGAAGCTTTCCACTGATAATACATTGCAGTTCCTCAGATGGGTGATACAGAGAGGAATACAACCTATGCTGCTGCCAGTGGCTGCCCTATTTAAGTGTGTAAACTTGAACCTACTAATAAACGCTTAGGAGTCTGCATGGTTTCATCTGGTGCTGTTTCATGAAGTGGAGTTCTTCAATTTACTTCTGCTTAATAGAAACATCAACACTTTCATTCTTTTTTCTCTTTTTTTAGTATTTCCTAGTTTTTGCATACTTAGCCTGCACTTGAAGGATTATTACATGTGCATGCAAATCCCTTTGTAAATGCTACAGTTGTTTCCTACTGTATAACCTTGCTTTGGAATCTGTACTACATTTGTGGATCACAGTACACAAAATCACACTAGGAAGTCAGTCACAGATACCAGTGGGCTGTCGTTTCTTCTAGGTTGCAAGAACTCTTGAAACAGACTGCTCATATTATTTTTAAATGTTGTCCTTTCTTGATCATTGTGGGAATTAGAAACAAATTGCCTGTTGCAAAATACTCTGTTTCATATTACTTAGCATTTTCCCATAAAAATCTGAAGAAATGCCACAGAACCTGATCAAAGTTTAATGTCAGTTTGTTATTGAATAATGATGATTTTTGTCTTTATAGGTAAAGCTTCAGCCAAGAAGCTGACAAAAAAGGTAAACAAAATGTTCCTTTCCTTCTTCAAAAGAACTTACATTCTTTCTGTTACTCAACTGAATAGACTTCAAAAATTGGCTTTATATTTTCTTGTTTGTGTCTTTAAAGGAGGTAGATGCTGCACTGCTGTGTGTTACCAAAGCTAAACCAGGACCGACCTTTTTTAGAGAGCTTGGTGATAAAGGTAATGAGCACTTTTCATAGTGAAAAATACATCTCGCTTTTTATCTCGTTATATGGTGTGAATTGAATGTATTTTTAAAGAAAGTTTCAGGGATTTGACTTCATTCCCATCTAGCCAGTAGCTCTCTACTTGGCAAAACTCTCAGTTATGCAAGAGAGAGTAAAGAGGCAGGGCTGGGAATTGAAAGCCTTCTGAGGTGCTGGAAGTCATGACAGAAATCAGAAAGCCTGCTTGGAGAAAAGAGCTAAAGGGATGACTTCAGCATAAAATGGGCTTTTAAGACTTGTTACTAAGCTGCTGTTTCAATATAACTTAAATGCATGGAAACTAAGACTAAAAATGAAATTTGTATCTAATTATGTAAAGTGGTATCCCTGATTCCAAGCAACCTGGTCTAGTGGAAGGTGTCCCTGCCCATGGCAGGGGGTCAGAACTAGATGATCTTTAAGGTCCCTTTCCGACCCAAACCATTCTGCGATTCTTCGACTTCAACAGCTTGGTGGCCCTTCACAACACTGATGTGCTTTAGTTTCTTTTCACCCAGCATTTCCAGCTTGTATCATGCTACATAAAGAGAAAATTCTGAAAGCTAGGATATTGTTTGTTTAACCACAGGGAGTTAAAGAACACCAAATAAACACCTCATTAGCATAAATTAATTGCAAGGGAAAAAAACAAACAAGAGGGTCAAGGGAACCACATAAATGAGTAATTAACCATTTCACCAGTAACAAAGACTGAAATTCCCAAACTAATGAGAAAGACCAACAGCGTTTATTCACAAACTCTGTGTGGTAAGAGTTCAGCCTGTGTTCCTTGTCCCACAGATGGTTCTGGAAAATAAAGCTGCCTTTGCACTGCTGCAGTTCCTTGGCAGGCATGAGCCATGCTCTCTCCATGCACAGCAGATCCCTGGGCATGGCTGGGAGCTCATGGCCCATTCTGCCTGCAGTTCATTTCTTACATCCTTCTGCTGATCTTGAGGGGTCTTCAGCTGGGTGCCTTGCTTGTCAGTCCACTCCTGCAAGCTCCAGCATACCCCAGCAGCCCTGAAACATCTCTGAACAAGTTGAACATTATTTTTCTCCTCTCCTAAGGAAGGCTGGATTTTGTATTGAATAGTTATTCTTGCCATTTCAAACTAATAACCATCATGTGCTTTCCCAGGATGGGGTTTAAAGGATTCCCAGTCATTAATTCTTGGATATTTTTTTCTCTATCCCTGATCTTGTAGAGCCTTTCTTTTTCTTGTGGCTGACACTGCAAATCCCCAAAGCATTCTGCCTGGGAAAACCAGGAGTCCACCAACAGAAAGTGAAAACATAGCAAATCAGCACAAGCCTCCTTTTATTGCACTTCTGCCAGCTGACTGCTTGGCAAAAAGCGTGCTTGGTGATAAGCTCGGCCCGACATCTTTTGCATTCTGGACAAGGTATTGATCTCCCCTTGTTTAGGACTGTAGGTCGATATACTCTGTCTTTCAGAGGTCAGGTAGGAGTGTGAGATGATGCAGGAATATTCAGTGTAGTCATCCATGTGTATCCACAGCACATGGAGTTTTTACAGTTTTTGGTCATGATGCCTCTTTAGTGACTTTGATGCTTTTACTTTGAGATGTATTATTATTACATTTTTTAAATGTAAATATTTATGAATTAATACTGCTTTTACAAGTACCAGAATAACGAATCTACACCTGTTCCACTGTTTAGCTGAGATTATTTTAACTACCTTCAATTTAAGTATTGAGTAGAGGGAAGCTGTCATCAGTCCAGTTTGTAAAATGTAATCCTAGGGAATTCTGCCTTCTAGTGGGCAGTTTTAAAATTCGTGTCATATTTTGTGGGAATGTTTTTGACTTATTCAGTGATAAAAATATTGTGCTGTCAGCATTTGCTATCAAGTTTGAGGGTAGAGATTTCTAGGGAGGGATAGGGAAGGTTCATTTAGTGTTAGAAAATGACAGTATTTTGCTGATGCTAACTGCAGATATTTGGCTGCAAGTATGCTGAGTCATTCAACTGTATGTGAAGCTTTAATTGTTTAAATTTTGTTTGGACATGAATATAATTTTCTAGGGTTTGGTTTTGTTGTTTGCAGGGTTTTAATTTGTTGCATTGCATCTTTTAATTTGAGTAACTTTGTAATGACTACTGTAGAATAAAAATAAAATTGCCAAAATATTTAATTTACTTTATGGATAAGGTAAATTGGCTATTCACTACAGGTAGTAAAGGGATAATAAAATCAAAATAAGATTTTTAAAGAAAATCAGTACACAAGTTAAAAAAAAAATCTTGTCTCGAAGTATTTTAGTGTAATCAGTCTGCCAGAAAAAGGCAGGCTATGGATTTGCTTTAAGGCACTGAAATAGGTTTTAAAGAACAATTAAGATTTAATTTTTTTTTACATATTTTTATTATATTTACCTTTTTACCTATTTTACTATATCAACTTTTCAATCAGCTTACACTAAGATGATGAAAACAAGAGTCTGTGACTCACCCTGCCATTTCTTACAAAGCTACTCTTCTCAACCCTCTGCAATTTGAGTGAATAGAGCCATCATGCTTCTCCCTTGAGACAATAAGCAGGGTGCTGTCTTTAAATTGGTCTTTTCTTTGCATCCTACCACCTCCAGATAAATTTTGCAGTCTTTCTGCAAAATTTTGTAGGGTACAGTGTTTCCTGTCTACCCATATAGCTAAAACTACCCAGGTGCCTGGCATTTTGTATCTCAATTATTACAACTTTAACAAACATAATCTGCCATCTTAATATCTTTCCAAATGCTTTGATAAATATGTTTTTCTTATGTGACTCCTTTGAGTGTATAATCTCTTCTTTTGTATCGCAACACTAGGCTCTCCTTGTTCGGTTTTATCTCGCATAAGCTGCTTGTCTTGACCTTCCAGGTCTTCCTTAGACTCTCCCTGTGCAGCACATCTCAAGACAGCCAAGAGGCAAACTACCACTTCTCCTTGGACAGTGATGCTGGCCTTCAGTGCTTGCTCTTTAAATTTTCAGGCAGGGATCTCTGTGCTGATACCATTGCAGTCTATGACTGGGAAGTGTTTTCTATATAGACTTGAAAAGTTACTGCCTTGTCTTCCTTTTATTTTTCCTTTAAACATTATTTTGCTGTGTCATACACACACACCAAAAAAAAATCCAAAAAAATGAAACCACCACCAACCAACATTTTAGTTCTTTTTTTTTTTTGAATTTGTAGAGATCCTGGGCACTTTGTCTAGGAACACAATTCCAAGTTTTACAGAAATGCGAACAGCGATTTACATTCTTCCAATGGCAGTAACCCTAAAACTTGTAAGCAAAACTAAATCTTTGAGATAAAAGTATTTTTTATTTCCACAAGACTGTGGTGCTGTGCTGATTTACACATGATGCATGCTGGATGATAGGGTGAATAACCCTATTTTAATGGTGAGGAAAGCTGTGATATGGAACCACAGTGACTTGACAACAGGATCAGCATTAGACTAGTCTTTAGCTAAGATTATTCTCAGATTTTCAGACTCTTGCAGTCAGTAATTTAATATTTCTAAAGTCTGGTACTTAAAACTTAGTGTTAAGCCACTATCTGAGGTCAAATACAAATGCTGTTGGTTCTGCACAGTAATTTATCAGAAGTTAATTGTTTATCACTGAAGCTTAAGTGGATTCCTTATCTATCAATTAACTAAATATAAATTATAAAAAGTAGTTTATCTTTGCATACATAGGCATGTTTGAACTTCCTTATTTTAAGCAGCTTCAGTATTATACAATGTTTAGCTCACAAGTTAAAAGTAGCTCAGTTATTTTGCAAAATTATTTATAAAGAAGCCCTTTACATTTTTTCTCCAAACATTATTGCAGGGCAGATGGTTCAGATTCTGTTGTTTAACCACCCTCATTAGGCACTCTCTATCTTTAGCTTGTATGCTCTATTTTGACGCTATCACATCTTTGTGTTTGTTCAGGCTTTTCACTTAAGGCGGTATTTCAAACAAAAACACTGGAATTTTCCTTCAAAAGGGGGGAGAATACTTTCACTTTGTAGAAAGGACATGTTCCTATTTAAGAAAAAAAGCAAAAAAAAAAAGAAGCCTCCTCTTGGCATGCGGCCCAGCAGTACTATCAGCACAATCTAGCAGCTTGGCAGCTTTGTGTGTTGCCATGTTCCCCTTGAGAATTAGAGGGAAGCTATTCTCTGCCTTCATGAGCCTGCCAAAGGATGGAGGACTTTGTTCCTTGAGAGTAACGTTAGAGTAGTTCTCCTCCCAGGTACTAAATGTGACAAAGCACATTTAATTTATTTGCCTTTTATATAAACATTAAATGTTTTCAGTGAGAATCCAAAGATTTAGTGTAGGCCTTTTATTAATACCAAATAAACCTTACTTTCTTGATTAGATGTGAACATTGATGAGTCTCTGGTTAGGGAATTTTACCTTCAGAGCACTAGAAACAGAAGCAAAAGCTTTATTGAATAATAATGTGGCTTACTTTAATAACTATTTAATATGATGTTAAACTACATTTTTTATGTTTGTAAGATTTGATCTTTCAAGTCTTGCTGTAAGTATGTGGGGGGTTTTGCAAGTCACTTTTTACCTCTTTTTGTTTCAGGGTTGATATCTTATGCAGAGTACCTATTTTTGCTGACAATCCTTACAAGTAAGTATTATGTGTGAATACTCAGCTAATAACAGCTTTCCAGTAACTTTTTCTGATATTTTCTAAATTTCTACGTTATAGGAAAATGTAAAGAACTATCATATATAGAATGATAAGGCATTAATATAAATGGATATAACTTTAATTGATTGCATAGTGTCACCACTGGTTCATAGCAGGACTTCAAAAATCATGCTAATCCCTGCTCCATGAGATCAGAGAAGTCTTGCAAGTGACTTTGAGAGGGGAGAGACACTAGTTGCAGGACCACATAATAAGGGGAAGAAAAACAGTGGGGGAAGATAAATAATTTGTTTAATAGATAGTAGTTTTAGTCATTTTGGACAATGGGACATTATAGCTCATGCAATGGTGTAAAAAGCTGTTGTGGTGTCTGGAAGGTTGTTGCCTATTATTCATGTGTTCAGATGTGCAATGGATGATATACATAAACAGCAGAATTCCACAGTGTCTTTTTGTTCTACTTTTTAATCCTTTTATTTTTTCCTTTTGACTTTATTTCTCCAAGTATTTTGCAGGTATTTCTGCCCCCTCCTTTGCCTCCTTCCTTTATCTTTTTTTAAAAAACTTTTTTGTTTGGTACTTGCTTTATCTGCAAACAGCAGGCATTTTTATTGTGCATGGAAGTGATCTTGGATCTTCAGGGTTTCCTCACCCACCCTTACTCTGTGACATGCTTGCCACCTCCCAGTGCTGTTCTGATGAGGCATAGGTGATGCTGGAAAATCCCAAGATTTGGGATGAGTGCAATGAGCATTACTCAGTAAGACCCATAGACTAGTAGTGAAGTAGTCCTCATGCATGTCCACATAATAGTCCATATGCAGTCTTGTTTGACTTACACAGGTCTAACATTTTAAACAAGGGACAAAACCAGGCATACTCATGGTATCAGCGGATGGGGAAAGGAGAGAAGGAAGCAGTTACTCTTACCACAATAGAATGTAGATGCTTGAGCCTCATCACTTCTGTGGCTGCGAGGTCCACAATTTACACAAATGGACAAATTTTCCTTGCTCTAGTAATCCACCCTCTCACAGCGTAGTATGAAAAAGTAACATTGTTCTCCAGAGAGTCGAGAGAGTTATGTCCAGCCTTCACAGATGATGATCATTGGTGCACATCTCTCACACAGGTTAGGTAGCCCTTTTGTAATTTATCTCATCTCTTACCAGAACTGCATTAGTTCCTGCTGCATGGTATGAAGGGTGATTTCTTAGGATATTTCAGCTAGTACACAGTATTAAATAGTGTATGTGCATTAGGATAACCTATTTAACATGCAAATACACTCTTATCACCAGTAGTGACTGTCCAGTCCTACATGCAACTCAGACATGAGTTATACCATGTGTTCAGCTGGTTTCTTTAAATCATAAATAATTCAGGTCTAGCCCAGTTAGAAAGTCAATTTTAAAATATTTGCTGCAACTCAAAAAAGGATTTTTTTTTCTTTAAATGATAACCACAACAGCCACATTGTAGCTTCAGAAGAATACCTTAATTAAAGTTACAGAAATAGGTGCCAAAGATTCTATTTCTTTAAAAATCTATGGCAGCTGAAAGTAAATTCATGCTGATTTATTGGCTGAAGCAATTAGAAAATTGAAGCAGTATAAGAGCAAGTTGTTCCACTTCTCCAGACAATCAAGCAACATTACTTTTCACAGAATTTACATAGGAATGTATTGAACTGCAAAAACAAAGGCGCATTTTGATGCAGGATAAAAATGCAGTGGCTAATGTTGCTGCTTTGGTTACGCAGAGAGTTATCATACAGATCAGTTTGAAAGCAAATATCAACGCTTGTTAGTGCCTCTGTCTTTGCCTAACGAGTATCCCATGTCAGTCAGTCCCCATTTGCACAACCTGTCTCTCTCACTAGTGAGAATTAATTTGAGATTTCTTAAAGCAGCCATTAATATTTAAATGATTTCTTCTAAGTCACCAACAGAGCAATATGGAAATGGGAAATGTCACCAGGTTTCCAGGGTCCTGATTCCAGGACACTGCTGACCAGACCATGCTGCTTGTCATACAAAAGCACTGTCTCTAACGCTGAACTTGAAAATGTAATTTTGCAGAAAAGGTCATATTTTGCCCTCTGTGATCCCCTTTTCTCTTTTCTGTGTGCCTTATATCATTGCTATCTTTTTCCTTCCAGTGCTGTATTGAATTTAATTTCCAGCAATTGGTTAATGGAGCTTCTGGTAAAGCCCTGTCTGGTAAAGGAGCCCAGGAACTGAACTTGTTTGTTTTACTCAAAGCTTCATTTCAATTAGCCAGTCACACAAGTTGACAGCTTGGTCAATGTAGGAATAGTTGGAGGGGATGCACCTAAGTCTAACCTGCACTCACAGTCAAGATGAAGCTCTTCTATTCAGATTTTGGAATTTTGCCTGATTCTAATTAAATACAAATATATCTGAGGTAGTCTTTGAACTATGCTTATTTTTCGAACACATACCTTTTGGGTTACATCATATCAGATAAGTATGTCATCTCTGAACAGTAAAAGCAGCTTTAGGTCCTATATTTTCAGTAACAGCTCTCTTATCTGAAAATTCCAACACAGATGGTATGAATTACTATTAAATACATCAATTATTTTTATTCTCTAAATATGTTATAGGATATGCTCATCTTGCTTTTGTACTAGTAACGCAAATTTAGTGTGTGGCATTTCCATGGAAAGGAAACCAGTTCTAAGTATTACAATGCAGTTGCTGGGGAAGGGATCTGCTCTGCAGATTGCAAGGGTATTTATAAAATATCCCTGCATCACTGGGTTGTTCCACAGAGATTTTTAGTTGACTGATGAAGATGTAGTTACATCTAAAATGTAAAAGTAGTTCTTACTTTAACCATCTTCTTATCACTTAAAAGGAATGGGATATTTCTTTAATTTGTTCCCTTTGCAGAAAGATTCCTAAAAAAAAAAAAAAAATTGCAAGACTTAAAACTTTACAGGATGGAGCTGGAAGAATGTATTTCCAAAAGAAAAACTGCAAAGGCATTAGAGCTTTTTAGAGATACTGCTTCACTGTCCTCATGAGTCCAACATTATTCTTGGAAACACAAATATATTCTAGAGACGATAAGTCTGTGGCTTTCATATTAATGCTTGACTTGACTGGGTTGTGGAACTAATTCACCTGCTCCCATAAATTACTGGGATAAGTGCTTGCTACTGCAGTGAACTATAACTACATTTCAGCAGCACGCTGCTCCTGTGTGGGCTTGCTAATGAGTGAGTTCACCTCCTATAAGCAAAGCAAGATCAGGAAATTGTGGGAAGGAGCTCAAAACACTCCATGTTTTTATAGTGCCTGCAAGACTCAGAACTCATTACATTTTTGTGTTGAGAAGAAACATCCATTTGGTGAAGGAAATGCAGGGTAAAATCGCATAAAATTCCTGAAAAAAATCAGCTAGATGGGAATCGTACAAAACATGCTTTAGTCCAAAAAAGCCAAAAAGAGTGGTTTATTACATCTCAGTTAGCCTGGGGCTAACACAGCAGGAGCAGGAGCCGAGAGAGCTGGCCACAATTACAAGATCGGTCTGTTTGCTGGGGAAGACTAGGGAAGACTGCAAATACTGGCATACAGTAATGCATGCAAAAACTGCCTGAGGGGTACACTACTAGCTCTTTCAGGCAGTTTGGGAATTATTATTGGTTTCTCAAAGCACTTTCCAGTCTTCTCACCTGAAAACGAGCTCTAGTAAACAAGGCAGAGCTCAACATCAGAAGTGACATGGGATTATGGAGACATCTATTGAAAATACCTAAGACCAGGATAGGACATGCAACATTTTTACAGTTGTTGGGATCAGATGGACATCTGTGGTGGTCCTTAGGCACAGCTGGCATTTCTTGCTTTGCCATTGCACTAATTATCCCTTGAAAGGGTAGTAAAAAGGTGCTTGAAAATGTTTTGCCTATATTGGAGGAGGTGCATATGGTTTACTGGAAATATCATATACATGCATAACAATGGAGAACTGAACCATAGGCAATATTCCTTTTGCATTAAATGTTTCAGTACTAGTATAAGAGTGTGTGTATGTGTATTTACAATAAAGTTCTTTTGCAATTTATTGCAGAACCCCAGACTGGATTTCAGATTGCCTTTAAAATGTTGGATACAGATGGCAATGAACAAGTTGAAAAGAAAGAATTCTTTAAGGTATGTGTATTTGTATGAATATGTATTTTATAAATAAAGATTCAGTGAAATCTTCAAGCCTATTTTTCAGGCTGATCTATGATCACATACTTACAAAAATACTTTATAGGAAAGAAGCACATACTAAACCATTGCTGAAGTAGTTATCATACTTGAATCCACTTCTATAAATATTATCTTTGACTTGTATCTAAAAATTTGTTATTGGGGAAGTAGCAGTTGGTGTACACCAATTAATCCTGTGATTAATATGGGAATATGAATAATCAGATGGAAAAGTCTTTTATTTTCTATATATTTTGAATTTATTTTTTTTAATTCACCATCCTCTCTTTGTTCTTACTCCTTCCGGTTGTGCAGGTTTTTTACCAATTCACACTTTGGAGAGTAACAGAAGTTTTTCCCCTGATTTGTGTAAAATACAGGGCAGAAAGCCACATGCTTAAAAACCAAAGAAAATCTTGTTCTGATCTGTTACAGAAGCATAGGCTTAATGATACAGCTTATTCAACTTTTAAGTATTAAGAGACTGTTAACTAAACACTTCTTGTCAAAAGTTGAATGCAAAATTAACAAATGTAATTTCTAATAGACTTCCTCGGCTTAATTCAGATCATTCATTCGTATTGGAGGTGACTAGAGAGCAATTTTATAAGAAGCTGAAATAGCTACTAGAATGCAGATTTTTTTTCTGTCACTAGCATAAAGTTAAAGATGATCACTAATGCAACAACTCTGGAGAACTACAGAATCTACAATTTCTAAAGATGCACCAACTGATAGAGAAATTACCAAAATTTAAGTGTACTTTCGTAACCTTAAACTCTGAATTAATGATACAGTTGCTATTAGCATATTTGCACTGCTAGCCATTTTTTAGTGAATTGTCTTTTAGCAAGATTACAATTGATATATTTTAAAATACTGTAAAAATACTTTCAGACATAGTAGTACTACTTGAAAATAGTACCTGAAATTAGACCATTTCCCAAGACAGTGTTCTCAGAAGCCCTAACTGAGCCTGCAGATACCCTGCCCTCATTTGTTGCTGCACAAAATCTTTTAAGCTTGAAGAATTTGCTCTGTTGAAATGTTAATTATTCTGATGATTTTTAAAAAGAGATCAAATTCTAACTAAAGCCATTATTTTTAACCTGCTAAACCTGGTACAGTCCTACTGAATTATTATCAGAGTAGCAGTGCCCTGGTCACTGTTATGGAGGTATTGTTCATCTACAAAACAGTATGTTACTGGGGGAAATAAGTTCATGAACACAAGTGAATGTATTCAGCCTGTGGTGCCTCTGCACCACATTGCCATGTTAGCAGTATTTCCTTTAAACTGGTACTGTGTCAGTTAAGCAAATAGGGAGATTCTTGCAGAAATACGGCACAACGCTCTTGGGGAGATGTACAGTATGTCATATATTTAATGTCCATTATCCATTTCATGTAACTCTAATTGAATAAGCCAGTATGAACAACAACAAGTCATCAAAGCTAGAGGTGAAAACATTATACAAATCATTAAAAATAATTTGATTTCTGTAGAGACAATCAAATTAAATTAAAATTATTCTAGTTAGATAGATTGTTACTTTGCATTTACATTATGGGCTGTATTGACTAATACAGGGTGGTAAAAATAACCTTATAAATTGCTATGTCAACTTACAAAAATCATCAAATTCAAAGAAGTCCCACAGGATGCAAGCTAGTTAAAAGATGAGTTTTCTTACATGACTGTCTACTTAACATTTATAAATGGTGACTATTTTAAAGCCAAACTTAATTTTTATAGGTTAGGTTTAAAAATAAAATTTTTGGAACATAAGAACCTGGGAAAATACATGTGCATTAATCTGTGTATGCTAGTTCTGCATGCATCGTAGAATGCTGCTGTATATCTAACAAGTTAGTAGATTGTGTGGCTGATCTGTCATTTATCTTACCCCAGTTGGCATCTCAGGAAAATGTATCTGAACTATTCTGTAGTTATTTCCACACTCCGTTTGACAATACTATCAGGAAATGTATGTGAGGAAAGGGCAGTGGAAAAGCACAGCAAAGCATTAGGATGTGGTTATCGTAAGCAGGATGTGATGCGAAAAGAAATTTCAGTGTTACTTGCTTTGTCTCCTCCCTACTTCCCATCCATTATCTACTGATTAGACATCTGTCTAGATCTACGTTACTTATTGATCTAGACTGTAAATTCTTTAAGGTCAAACCTCGACTTTTTGTTTGCAATATGTGTATCACTCCTTGAATTGTGTATTTCTCAGCTCTCACATGTTACTGGATAAACAGGTACAAGATGTATCATGTGAGTCATTCAGGGAAGGGAGAAAGGTGACACAAAGAGTCTACAACCTAAGTCCTTTGCACCTGCAGCACGTGATGGAAATAGGCTGTTCAGACCTATATGGATCACATACTGAAGAAGTGTGAGATGCAGGTTTCCCAGTATATTCAGTGCTCTTTGCTAACATAAATGAATGTTCAGGAAAGAAAATCTTGAATGCAACTGCATGTTTTCAATTGGAGCATTTATCATGTCCTCCATAGCCTTTCCATTTCTGTATGTATTTTCTTCTTTTCCAGCAGAGATATGAGTCTGTCCCTTCCCAGGAACAGACTCTTGTTATCTCTCCTCCCTACTTCTTTATTTCAAAGCCAGTCTACTTTGATTTCTGCTTCATCCATGTTTCACTGGTAAACCTTAACAATGCAAGAGACTTTCAGTATTAGGGCCCAGAATCACAGCGGTCTGTATTTTGAGGTGGGCATCTGCAAGGACTTGTTGTGTTGACCTGCAACTCCAGGGTGAAGAAGACGTGAAGAAACCACATATTCCCAGAGGATAGTTGCCATCCTTTAATCAGCCTCTCCCAGAGTGCAAAGAATTGTTTCTCAGCGCCATATTTTCTGCATCTCTGTGAGGACAGTAAGATACTTGTGAACTCTAAAACTGGTACATATTGGCCAGAGAGGTGGTGGATGTGCCATCCCTGGAGACATTCAAGGCCAGGCTTCACATGGTTCTGGGCAAACTGACCTAGTTCAAGATGTCCCTGCTTATTGCAGAGAGGTTGGACTTGGACTAGATGACCTTTGAAGGTCCCTTCCAACTGAAACTGCTCTATGATTCTGTAACTCTGCACTTCCAAGACATTCGTAAGAGACTTGGTGAGGGGAATTTCCAGACATATGCATATAAGAACCTATGTGCATTAATCTGAGACCTCCCATCAAGAATGACCAAAGGTCCCAAAATCCCCAGCAAGTGAGGAGTTTGCCTAACTCTGTCCTGACGAAAGATTTCTAAGTAAAATTAATAACAATTCAAAACTATTGGGAATGGAGGTAGGGTAATGCTGATGCCACATGTAAGAGCTGTGTGATTTAAACTTTATAGACTGTCTTTATACACTTGCCCTTGACAGCACATACCACAAAAAACTTGCAGAGGTTCATCTAGGGCTGAATGAACCAGCAGCTGACACTGTCAGCAGTTGTGGTGGTTTGGTACAGAACAGCTCTGTGGTCCTGGAGCATTCACAAGCACACTAATCCCCCTTAAACAACTGGAAGATGTAAAATCACCTTTTTTTTTTTTTTTAAGACTGACACAGCCTTTCTGACAGCTCTTGTCTTCTTCAGAAAAGATTACTTCTTAGTATGTCTTTAGCAAAGAGACATCGGTTATGCATAATAGGTCTCATTATCTTTGAATTAGCCGAATTAGCCATTAGTATCTTGAGTGATGAACAGATATAAATATTAAATACAGATAAATGTTACATAGAACAGTTGTATTAAAGTCCATTTCTCAAGGGCAGAATTATTCTCCCTTTGTAATTGCTGCATTGTGCTGGAAAAAAATCTGCAAACTACTGGAAATATTATCAAGTACTAAAAGGATTTATATACTACGTAAGAAAACAACAAACTAAATCTTCCAGAACACCTGTTAAAAAGAATGATACTGTGTGTCTGTGCTCTTTAGTAGTGTCTGCAGATTTTTTAAGAGTCCTTTAAAAATAAAATCCAAAATTAAAAAAAAGCATATTTTCTCTTGTTTGGAAAATATTTGCAGTTGTGTATCTTGTATGTGAGCAAAAGATGGATTTTCCAGGTAAGAAAAAAGGTAGTTTTTCCATAAAGCACTTGTGTTTTTATCCGGAGCTCTATATTGCTGTTTTGCTATGAGGAAAATCGTAATGCTTTTAATGTACTAGTAAATTGTTCTCTGAGTGATCAAAAATAAAAAGAATTTGGAGAAACTTGGAAAAGCTAATACTGCTTAATTGTCTTTTTTACAGTATTTATTTTGATAAATACAATCCAGGCATGACATTCAAAAATAATAACAGGAAGTAGCTATCCTGAGGAACTCAAAACCTGAGGCTTATGGAAAAAAAACAGAACAGGTGAGGTAGTCAAAATTTGAAGGGCAAGGGAAGATCTTTAGCAACATGAAGAGTTGGTGGGGTTTTTTTCCTGCTCACTGCTTTACAAGCCCATATTGCTTCTCTAAACAACATAAATAAATAAATAAATAAATAAAAACTAAGAAGACTTTTGAAAACCCCACAAAATAATGCCTGTGCAAATTTGGTCATGGATTTTTTTTTCCTAGTTTTAGTGAGGAATCACTCAGAAATGTTTGAGAAGCAAACTAGAAGCTTTGAAAACCCTGAGTTTTAAAAGCATCTTTCCTGAAGTCTCCAAATCCAGAGTGATTGTTGTATGTCCATATCTATACTTGAAATGTAGTAAGTCCCTTGTTTTTTCATTTTTGCTGTCCTTTTGAGGATTCATTCAAAGGTCTGTGAAAGGTAGGTGTACCTTGTGCTATTTTGAATCACTCATTCTTGGGGCAGTGTTGACCTCCCAAGCTAAAATGCAGTCGAAGAAACCTTACAGCTGAGTTATACTTGAGGTGCTGCAAATTAATGTACTTTCTATATTGCCTTTAAGCTCTGCTTGAGACAGTGGAAGTTATGGTTTTAAACATGATTAATTTCAGTACTTCTTAGCTAACATATGCAAAATTCATTTATTTGTGGGGTGGAGGGGAAACTCAAACCACATTCTGCATAATGACAGTTCTGAAAATATGTTTGCTTATGTAATTAAATTATTCTTTGTTGTTAGGTGTACCTGAATCGAACAGGTATGTTTTTCATGTCTAGAAGATCGTGTCTGTAGCAGGACTATGTAAAGCTGTCTAGGAGGACAGCATAAAAATCACAGAATAATTTTTATTTCCCAAATGAACCTTTATGTTACACCTTTGATATTCAAAATCTTATGGAGTGAACGAAGGCCTTCTGATGCAATAAAGTCTCCTCTAAAAATAAAGTGCTAGGTTACAAGAGATATGTTCATATGCTCTCCTTGGTTATATTAACCAGAGTAGATAAGACATTCCTAGGAGAAAGTGTGTCTAAATAGCAAAACATCTTTAACTATGCAAATATTTTGTCATGAACCTTGCAGAAACATAATGACTTTATAATTAAGAAAAGGTGAAATTAATGAAAGTTTCTAAAAAAGGAAAGACTTGTAAGACCAAATTTGTAATTTTCTTGTGGGGTTTTTTTCCATGTTTTACAAATACAGCTACAGAAAATCATTGGGAAGGAAGATGATTTGAAAGCAGCTGGAGATGAAACAATATTTCAGGTATGAAATCTTTTTTTTCTTTACACAAACATTGTCATATTTCCCATGCACTTTAGATAAGCATATAAGCATCAGGTTTAGTGCATTAATTAAGTGAAAGTGCATGATTTGTCAGCTACATTCTAAATGAGGGAAAAAGATGTTTGTCGCTTCTGAATCTGATGAAATGTATGCAATTAATGTGTTTCATTACTGTGTAGTAATCCTCCACTCCATTACTTAGTTTCTGTAAGCATCTGCCTCAATGTAATTCTCTTCTGTTTATGAAGAACTGAGAAAAAACTCTGTATTGCCATATGAGAAAATACGGGTTTCCAAACAGAAATTGATACCTTAAACTTACATAAGTGCTGCTGTTGCAGTAATATCAGCTTATTTTGAGTTGGTTTGAAATGTAATTATGTCATTGAGGTGACAAAGGCAAGGATTACTTTAGTCAGATCTGCTTCCAGAAAGAAATGTTGTAGATGCAGACCAGAAGAAACCATATTAGAGGATGGTCTTCCAACTAGGTTAGAAGTTTCAGTGGATTTCAGGCCATTAGCAAATGGCAAATATATCTCAACAGTGAAAGGGACAGGAAAATTCCTGCTCTCTTTTGGCTGTTTTCCCCTGAATCCTGGCACTGCAATCTACCTTCTTCCCAGACAGGGTCTTTGCCATTTGCCATCTTTTCATCAGTCTGTACTCACCACAGAGACAAGGAGCTCTGAAAGATTAGGCATGAGGCAGTGACTGCACATGTTGGAAGCATTCAGTAAGGAATTTATACAGGATTCTGCTTTATAAACCTGTCGTGCATCAGCAGTCTATAGAGTTGGTCCAGCTCATGTTGCATCCTGACTAGAAGGAAGTACGGCAGGAGGACCAGGAGACCTCCATGAATGGATAAGGAACTACTGAGGAAACTTAGAGGGAAAAAAGAAGCTTATATAATGTGGAAGCAAGGACAGGTGGCCTCGGAAGATTGCAGGAACATTGTCCGGGAGCTAGGGACCAGATTAGGAAAGCTAAGGCCCAGTTAGAATTGAATCTGGCAAGGGATGTGAAAGATAATAGGAAAGGTTTCTGTAGGTACGTAGCAAATAAAAGACAGATTAGGGACAACGTGGGGCTTCTCCGAAAGCTGTCAGGAGAGCTGGCTACCCTGGATTTGGAGAAGGCTGAGGTTCTTAATGACTTCTTTGCCTCAGTCTTCACTAGCAAATGCTCTCACCACACCACCCAAGTCTTGGAAGGCAAACGCAGGGACTGTGAGAATGAAGGCTTTAGGCCCACTGTAGGAGAGGATCAGGTTCAGAATCATCTTTCAGAACCTGAACGTGCACAAGTCCATGGG